TCATCATCATCATCATCATCATCATCATCATCATCATCATCATCATCATCATCATCCTCATCATCATCATCATCCTCATCATCATCATCATCATCATCATCATCCTCATCATCATCATCATCATCATCATCATCATCATCATCATCATCATCATCATCATCATCATTATTATTGCTATTGTTATCATTATCACAGCTAGTGTTTGCACGCACGTACCGCATGTATGCGCCAACTCCCGCACCTGCACGTCCTCTCATTCTTTTCTTTTTGGGATACATTGTCGTCTTGCTTTTCCTCACTGAGGCAGAACATGATTGTGTGTGATCGTCGAGCGCCTAGCTAGGTCGGTCTTCCTTCTTTATTCTGTTTTGATGTCGGTTGCGAGTGGTTAGGCTACCAGACTTGTAATGGTGAGGCTGCAGGTTCGAGGGTTCGAGGCTCAACTCAGTCCAACTTTGTTCCCTTGGGAAAGGACTTTACACGAATTGTCAAAGTTGGCTTGGTAATATCGGAGATTGAAGACATAGTCGGAGGTCTTGCCTCTAAAAACCCCACAGGGTTGCAAGCAAGGAGCATTTGTGTACTTCGCGAATTAGCACTTTGTTGTATACGTCTGTTTTTTAATACCTTTTCCTTGCGGCGTGCTCTAAATTTGTCGGTGTGCTCCTCTCTTCTCAAATAGATATAAGATGCGGTAAGAGGGACCGTTGTTTTAACTATTTCCAAAAGTAGAATGTAAGGCGAGAAATGAAAGAAGAGCATCACCAGTGAAATGCCAAGACCGTAATAATGTTATGGTCCTCACAGGACCCCTGATACTTCTGTGTCCGATCTCATGTTTGGGGTTGGGGGGGTCCTGGTCGTAAAGGGGTTTGCAAATCGGGAATAGTTTAGTGCTTTCCAAAAATCTGACCGTGAATGAAAGCTATGATTGTTAACGTTGACCGTAAAAATACCCCCCCCCCCAAAAAAAAAAAAAAAAATTAAAAAAAAATGAGAGAAAAAAATGGGAAGAAACTGAAATTAGAGTGAAATATTGCCCCATTTCGTTTTCATGATCACTGTTGACGTCGTAAATGTGATCGGCTGCTCTCTGAGATGACGGAGTGAGCGGCATGGCGGACCGGAATGAGGCCAAGGCAAGATAAATCATCGCCTTTGCGGTTCGCGTGGTAGAAATTCTGATTGGAAGAAAAAGTAATGTGTGACTGTAGATCTATAGATCCTGGTTTTGGTACGGAAAAATGTCTCGGGGAAAATGAAAAAAAGGAGATACGAGTACATGTACTGCTAGTCGAAGTCTGTAGTATTAAAGGGGGTTGTGGGTTGTTTTTTTTTGCGTTTTTTTTTCTTCTTCCAACTTTGACGAAATGTGGCTTTTTCGTTCTGAGTGACCCCCTGTCTGTCTGTCTGTCTGTCTGTCTGTCTGTCTGTCTGTCTGTCTGTCTGTCTGTCTGTCTGTCTGTCTGTCTGTCTGTCTGTCTATGCCTCCCCCCTCTCTCCCCTTCACCTCTTTTTTACGTACTCATTCCAAGCCCATTTTGTAAGAGAAGCCGTTATGTCATCCCACAAACATTGCGTGTTACGTCAGCCGTTGCGATGATGGGCGCGGCGCACTCACGGAAGGCGTCTGCTGACCACCCCTGAGACGGTGTGGCTTGGGTACGCACGTACTCATAAGACAGCCTGCTCAACCCACGCGAGTCTTGAGATGAGTCGCGCTCTCCATGATAAAGCGGTTAATTGGCCTTTGCGTCCTTACACGTCCCCCCCCCCTTTCCCCCCACCTTCTCCCTTTCCCCCTTCCCTTCAGACTCACCCTGGTCCCCCAGTTTTGTCTCTACCTTTTCCTCCTAGATTCCCCTGGAAGCTCCAAATTATATTATTATTGGCTCAGCCGTTCAGCCTATATTCTCTCAGCCGTGCACCCCCCACCCTGTTGTTTCTGTGTCCAATGTGGGATTTGGATAACGCCTGCCTTCTTTTTATTGGCAGTTTGGAGGCGTTTGAGATGAATGAACTCGTAGTCTGAGCGACGGATTATATTCCGGGAAACGGGTTGGGGGTGGGGGGTTGAGAGAGTGGAATAGCGGTCAGAGATATTAAAACCGGAGCTCTGTTTACTGCAGAGATATAGAAGGATATGTTGTTTCTCTATCGTAATGAAACCTGAGCGAATGGGTGAGGGGAAACGCCAGGATACTATAATTTATACATTTTGAGAAAACCCTAGCCGGGAAATGAATAGTGAACCATGGACGCCGAAATCTGTTTTAAGATCTGTCATTTTATGATGGCGATGATTAAGAATAGTACATTTAAAAAGTCTTGTGTTTGTTTTATTTTGGTTTGGTTTTTTTATTGGGGGGGGGGGGGGGGGGGGGGGGGGGG